TTGCTATAATAACTGCTTTCACAAAAGTAATCTCTTCGGGTACGCTGGCCGAAGCGAGCAAATACAATGGCCGCTTCCAAAAAGAAATTCAGAGTCAAACGGGCGTGGTTTGCATTCCGCACAGCCAATCAGACGTACGAACTATTTTCTCCCACAACAGTCCCTGCTCTCTAGCAGGGACTGAAAAGCGGGTCGGACGAACTAATTTGAGCTACTTTAGTTCCTGGGGCTTTTTGGTGTGAACGCAAATATATCGTAGTTCTGATGAACTATTGTGGGAAAAGTACACCAAAGTACTCCGGTGTGAACGCACCTAAAGATAGAGCAACAGATGAGGTATTGAGCGTCGCCTCTAGCGGATACATCTTCAGTGTGTGTTTATTTATTTTCTAGCGTCTATTTTTCCAACGACCTCATTTGAAAGCTTAGCTGTACTTTGACTGCTTCAGGCGCTTACCCTTATGTACAGCGGATGCATCTCTCTAAATGTATGTCTTTGCAGTGTGTGTGAGAGGGAGCAGCAGGGGGCGTAATTTCAAAGCACCTTTGACATGAAGTATATTTCATCTTATGATTCACTCTTTGTTTAGCAGTTTCCCGTCTGTCACTGACATGTATCATATACTGTAGCTTCTCCCAATGAACATACTCTCAACTCAACTGAAAGTTGACCTTGATGCAATTTTTTACAATACAGTTGTTGAGTCTTACATGACGTGTACTCCATCTAACATTAGGCTTTTGCTGCTTTTGTGCGACATGTTAAATGTGCACGCTGTTGAGGATCTTAGCAAAGCTCTTTTCTTTCTTTCTTTTACGTTTTTCGTTATTTTTTCTCTTTTTTTCTGTATCCTTGTCATTCCCTACCACCACACTGACACATAATAGGCTTGCATCAATAATGCAGTGGCACAGCAAGAGAGGAGAGCAGAGGAATGTGAATAGGTAGAAAGGAGATGAAAAGGGAAAGAGAAGAGAGGTGTAAGTTAGGAAGGAATGATGAGGTGGAGGTGGGGATAGCAGGAGGTGGGAGAACAGGAGAAAGTCGTTCACACAAAGGGCTATGAAAAAGAATAGATGAGGAAAACAGGGTAGTGTTGCCTAAAGGCTTAGCTTCCTTTACATTATTCGTGGAAGTTAAATTCACAGAAGGTAAGCAATCATTATGTTTGAACAGCAAAAACTAAAACATCAGCACAGATCTTTCAAGCACCAATCATTATATTATTTATTATAAAAATCAGTATACCCTTCACATCATGTGTAATGGCTTTGACCTGTGGATTTACTGCCAAAGCAGAATAAAAAAGCATGCCTGTCAGGCGCTGTTTATCACATCCAACGCATCTGAACACCGCTATTATGGTTTGTTTCCATATGAAGAAGTCTCCTCCCATCCCATAGCTCCCCAATGCATCAAAATAAACTTGACCCCATTAAAGGGCTTCTCAGCAGCCCACAGAATGTCCTCATTATTCTGTTTATGTCAGCAGATACGAAATGTCCCATTGCTATTTGTGAATAAGGGGTTGTGTTTGGTTTTCCTTCTAGCAATACGCACAATAGGCCGATCTAGTTCATTACCTGAAACCTATAACCAATGTTCCACACAGAAAAAGATTCGGGACTCTGCTCTCCTTGTTACTAGTTAGTCTAGCTCACAGCGGACAGCACCTAATTGTTTTGCCAGAGATCCTTTGGGTGAAAACTTAAATTCAGTCTCTAGACTTTCTAGGTCCAATTGGCCAAAAGGTCTTCTTTCTTTAATGCCGATGTATAAGATGTAATAGCCTCTCGTAAATACGCCGTTGCAGATTTCCCGAAGATAGACGGGCTTATCTCCTGTGTTTTATTCTCAGCCATAAAACACTTCTATTGAATGGTAATATACTCAGCAAAGGGATGTGACTAAGCTAGGGTTTAGTTGGCAGCATCTACAATCTGAATCTTTATAAAGACAGGAGATGGCCAAAATGAGAGAGGAATGGTGTACAGTTCTTGATCCAAACCATCACAGCTCTAAAAGCAAGGAAGTTATCTATCTTAGAGAGACACCATGTAGGATTATAAGGATAAAGGACTCTCAAAATATCAGTATATCTGAGATAAAAAACTCATGTACCCTCATTTGGAGTTGTAGGATGAGTCATCGCTTTGACCTTGTTCTCACAGGCTAACTGAGCTCAAACTGTCTTTTTTTTCTCAGGGAAGTTCTTAACTGGGTGAAATGACCTGAAAGTAAGTGGCAGCGATGATAAGAGCTGGTTGAAACTGGACCATCCTTTAGCAAAGGAAAGGACATACTGTAATGCTGTCCCACAATTCCCTGCAGCATCATCATTTAAAGACACAATTTAATTAATGATGGCTCAGTTTCCCTGTGAGCCAACATGCTTATTCACAGGACCCTGGAACTGGGTGTCATCAATTACACCTGTTGTTTTTCTGATATGACACATTAAATGTCTGCTGTCAAAAAAGATGATTCCTAGCATTCCCTTTGTGCAGTCCTCAGCCTGTTCAATTGAACATTTGTAATCTTTGCTCAGTGATAAACAAAGATCCTGCCCCCTCAGGTGTGCTGTAGTAATCTGACATTCTGCTCCATTAGGCCGCAGCTCTTCACTGTACTGAAGCAATCTGAGTGATAAAAGGAAGAAAGATTAAAAAAAAAATGGAAATGTCGACATATCCCCCAAAAATGGTTTAATCCAAAGAACAGGTTAAAACTGTAATCTACTTTGGAAGTGGAAGAGAAAAAATTATCACTATCCTCTGTAAGTGCATCAAGTAACCCTCCCATTGAAAAATATGTTGGTTTGGGTGTTGGAAAACAGCAATTTGAGTTAAATGGGAGCCCAAAATGGAGAACATATGTATTTTATAAAGTATTAGCAGGGGCATAGCCTCAGTGTCTGTCTGCCTGCCTCTCCTGCAGTCTCTCTCTATCTGTTTTTTGAGACTCCTCTGGTGATTTTGTTCATCAGAAGCAGGCCTGCAACCTGCTTGGGGACAGGCTCCTTACCTATTTCAGAATTCATTGTGTTGTTACACTGTTGCAGAAACACTTTCAAGCTCCCACTGACTAATGTGCCTTCAGACGAGCTGTGTGAATACAAACATTCCTCAGCGGCAGAGAGGGTACTGCTGATGGTAGCCACTAATGATGTGTGTGTGTGCATGCATTCGTAAGGTTGAAAGTATGATTTCTCAAGTTTAGACCGTCAACAACATAAACAAATTGAGTGCTGCTGCTGGATTGGATTCAGAGCTTTCCTTAATGAGTGTAGCCACTTACAGTATGTGCACATAAATGATAGAAGCCACTCTGTGAAGTTGATGTGTCTGACAAGATGGCTTGTGTTCTTGTTTTATTATTTAGTCATGTTGCTGCGTAGTAACAAAAAGGGTATTTCCTTTCATTGTGTATGCATTCATATTCATGCAGTCTAGCTTGACTTGTGTACTGAGAGCTGCTGGAAAGGATTTTCCCACATCATTGTGCATGCTTTTCTAGACAACAAAAATATTGACATTGATGATGTCGTTTGTTCGTGCCCTCTATTTCTGTCACTCAGTCCTGAACCTACTCCACTCTCTAAGAAGCACAGCGAGGAGGATTGGGGGTAACGAGATAAGAGATTAAGGGTTAATCAATCAGTCCCACTGTGTGAAAGAAGTACCGCAACTCCATACCACAGCCACGTGTGTGTGTGTGTGTGTGTGTGTGTGTGTGTGTGTGTGTGTGTGTGTGTGTGTGTGTGTGTGTGTGTGTGTGTGTGTGTGTGTGTGTGTGTGTGTGTGTGTGTGTGTGTGTGTGTGTGTGTGTGTGTGTGTGTGTGTGTGTGTGTGTGTGTGTGTGTGTGTGTGGTGTGTGTGTGTGTGTGTGTGTGTGTGTGTGTGTGTGTGTGTGTGTGTGTGTGTGTTGCTACTGAGCCTTAGAAAGAAATCTAACAAAGAAAAAAACTATCTGGTTGTTGTATCCTTTCCTGCTTTTTCTCTCTGTGCATCTTACATGAGCAGATATTCTCCTCTCCAAAGAAACTAGATTGATGTTGGATGTTAGTTCATCTGAATCCTTTAGACCTGCCTGATTACAGAAAACACAAATGCAATGGTCATAAGAGGAGCAACAATAATCCTTTATGAATTCAGTAAATTGCTAAAGAACTTCATACTTTTTTTTCTCACTTTAAGGAAGTACACTTGCAGTTTATTGGTTTCAAGTCGTCAATATCAGATTAAGAAAACAGGCACTGTGCCACCGAAGTTATTTTAAGGCCCTCATGCAATGTCGTAATCATCCCTTTGTGATGGTGAAATAATATTGCTTATTTGTGATTAACTGGAATGAATCAGCCGAATACATTTGTCAATAACAACACATGAATCCTCATGTATATCTGTTAATTATTTATTAATTTCAGTCATTTTTCAGGCTTAAATTGGGTGTTAGTTTTAGCTTTCACACATGTGTTTCTACATTGTGTTTGTGGCGAAGTTGTTGGAAGGTATGTGTGTTATACAAGTTGTTCAGATAGTCAGAGAATGTCTGTGATGGCTTCTAACAAGATGCCAGGCACTCCACAGCCGTGTTTGTCGCTCATTGCGTGCGTTTAATGAACAGCTCATTAGAGGGAAACCTCATTAGCAATCTAACGACAGGGAGCAAATGATTCAGTGAAGGGGAATTTGTTGCCTCTCTCTCATTGAAGCTAGAAAGCCGAGGAGCGTTCAAGGATGTGCCTCCGGTTTCATCTGCAAGCTCGGAGTAAACATCCACATCTTCATAACAGCAGCTCTATAAACATAATCCTCCACGGAAAAAGGCTCCTAACCTAAATAAGACCCCGAAAAGAGATGTAGTTGCCAGAGTAATGTATTTTTAAAGCTGCCCTAATTTTGTGTACTATGAATAACCACAAATGTTTCCTTTTTGAAAGCATGAAGTGGACATGCACTGTAGCTTAATAACACCATAACCTCTCTCTCGTTTACAGATCTGTGACAAGGAATGGCACTACTATGTGATCAACGTGGAGTTCCCTGCAGTCACACTATTTGTGGATGGTGTTACCTATGAACCCTATCTGGTGACGGATGACTGGCCGATCCAAACAGCAAAGATTGATACGCAGCTGACTGTGGGCGCCTGCTGGCAAGGTCTGTGTGTGTGTGTGTGTGTGTGTGTGTGTGTGTGTGTGTGTGTGTGTGTGTGTGTGTGTGTGTGTGTGTGTGTGTGTGTGTGTGTGTGTGTGTGTGTGTGTGTGTGTGTGTGTGTGTGTGTGTGTGTGTGTGTGTGTGTGTGTGTGTGTGTGTGTGTGTGTGTGTGTGTGTGTGTGTGTGTGTGTGTGTGTGTGTGTGTCCAAATCTGTCCATGGCATTGAACACACACACACACACACCACACACACACACACACCCACACACACACACACACACACACACACACACACACACACACACACACACACACACACACACATATTAAATGATGTTGTTAGTAGTTGCTCTTTATGTAACAGCCTTTACAGTTTCCTTCACATTACATTAATTAATAGGTTGAGTCTGTTTTTCCTTACAAGGGTCCTCCCCTTTTACTGTTTTGAATAAGTTTCTTTTTATTATTTCTGCATTTTTGTTTTTACTTAATTTAATGATATACCTTTTACCACAAATGAAAAAAATACTCTACTTAGACCTAGTATTTTGAACATATCTCTTCCAACTTGGCAGTACAGGACTGGGAAGAGATCATGCAATTAATGCAAACAGTGTTATCAAATATAATTACATTTTCTTAGCAAAGCAGGACATTGAAAAACTGCATGGAAAATGGCTCAGAAGCCAAAGACATTGAACATTTCATTTGAAGTACAAACAGACAGAGAAAAAGCAGGAGACTTTGTGTTAAGATAAATAAAGAGATTAAGATTTATGCCCCAGGGCTGCAAGTATTTCTTCTTTGAAATGGAGAGGCACGATCCGAGTGGGTATTAAATGGGAAATTCTGCGTGTCAGTTCCAGCGGCAGGGAACAAGAGCGAGCAGTGATCACATTTGAATGAATAAGAGCTACCCTGCTGCCATGTTTACGACTTGAATAATTATATAAAAAGTCTTTACAGGAGGGCAGAAGGAGACTGTAGTGATCCGTTCTGCAGGTTGCCTAAATCGCGCTCATAACACTGAACAGTATCACCCAAAGCTTGGATCCTGATGGCACTTTTTGCCGTCTAAATTTCTTTTCATCCTGTGCCTGATTGCAATTTCCTTTTTGTCATCATCATTTTCTTCCTTGCCTCGTACAGGCCTCTCTTTCTGCCTCTTCCATGAATCTCTGATTGTGAGAGAAAGTCCTGAAGGAAGGATTAGCTTAGAGTGAATGGAGGACAACTTTGCCAGCTATTACATCCCAATGAAGCCGCTTTAAGCTTCACTAAGCCGCAACTGATAACTTTGCAGGCCATTAGCGAGCAAGATTGCCTTTCTCTCATTTCTCCATCCTCTTTTCCCCACAATCAACAACATAATGATGAGACGTGTGGCATGAAAGGCTGTATTTTCACTGGCCCGAAAGCAAAATAGAAGACGTGTGTCAACATACAAGGTTAACAAGCTAATGGTTTTGTTGGGGGTTTATTTTTTAGGAAAAGAAAATCTGTTTGCCATCTTATTTCATTTGTTGTAGGAAGTGGATGTGCAATTTCACAGCAACATCACACTACAGTATTTAAATATGTTACCAAGGAAGTGCAGAGCAGGCATTTACAGGCTGGGGTAGTTTGATGTTGATAATTAAATGTCAACAAACAGCATGTTATCAGTACGTTTAATATTAGTTGCCGCTAGAGTATAAGGACATCGTGCTACTATTTTAGTTTTAGCACACAGTGGAATGAGAAAAGTCAAGATACATAATCTAATCTACAAGCACTATAATAATTTGTTTTTACAATGATTGTAATCCTGTTGACCTTTACGGTTTTCACTCGTCAAAGCTGGAGAAGCATAGGGATAATATTGATTTTATTAAGGCTCTGTTGCATTCAGCTTGCAAGTAGAATAGAATAGTCAAGGAGCTTAAAGAAATGCAGCAGTTATTTTTTGTTATTTAGTTCAGCGGTTAACAACAAGTTATAGCCATTTTATAGTCTTGAAATATCAATCCTTCAAATTATATAAATATATAACAACATTTGTTTTCCTTTACGCTGAGTGAAAATGAGCAAAATTCTGAAGCAAGTCTTAACAAGCTATTCAATATAAATTAGCCCTGAGTGCTTATTTACAAAAGATCATATTTGTTAATGCTCTCATATGTGAACGTATATGAAAGATCTGCAATGCATTGAGTTGTGTCCTTTTCCTCCTCCTCTGTGCTGTTATGCATTTCTTGTTTTTATGAATTTATCAAACTCATACTGTCTGCAAATCGAGACACAGGCAATCCGAAAGTTCAGTTTTGTTCACACTTGTGAATCAGAAAGAAATTGTCTTGACGAAAACCTTTCAACATGCATTTGTCAGGGAGATGAAGAAAGAGACTTAAGGGGCAGAATAATGACGAATATTTCTTCATGTGGAAAGAAAACGAGGTGATGGAAAATGTTCCCCACTTACACCTACTGTCGTCACTTAAACGTAGTACTTACCGTGCCTCTGTTAAAAAATGGCATTGGCATAAAAGAATCTGAATTATAAAGCCTGTAATAGTGCAGATGGGTAGTTCATGCTGTTTGTAGTTTTGCCACTCTCACGGTGGCTGATGGACACAAAGGGTGTGAAAAGTGCATGGCAAGTAGTTAGCTCCAACAAGGTTTTTTATTTCAAATAAAACCAAAACTCTTTTGAATCATCTTTAGTTAATTTACGTTTTGCAAGTTTGACGTCAGATTTGTTCATTTTTAACTGGCGGTAAGGCCTAATGGGAGCATGACATTGTTCCAGGACACCTTAACTATAACTGGAGTCATGTCTCCCCTCAAATATCTTTGTCCCAGAGGGAACTTGATACTTCCAGCAGCATAGAAGCTATATAGATATAGATATATAGGCTACATATAGCATAGAAGTGAGTGTTTATAGTAAATAGATAGGAGAATTGTATAGATCTAAACCGACAGAGGGGTAGGACTGAGAGAAAAAAATGCAATTACAAATCCATCTGATACTTCAGCACCGCAGACAGGGCCATGGATTTATCCATACGCAGCACAGCTAGGCTTCTGGTATTTCCAAATCATGGTCTGGATCATAGATTCTAACATGTAGAGACCTTAATATAGCCTCACTGTCCAACAACAGTTCGACCAACAGCATCTCTTGTTTCAGATGGAAAGAAGAATAATATCAGTGACTGTTTACATGCACAAAAGAAACAAGGCTGAAAGAAGGCCGTAATATCCAAATAAAATTCTGTGTGACCCATGTCAAATACAGAATATTGTCATATTCAGAATATATTACTGTGCAGTGTGCATGTAAACATAGTCATTGTCTTGTGACAAATAAAGTATAGAATTGCTCTAGGAAACTTCATTACGACAGTTGCCACATCATCTTAAATGTGTACTATAATAAAGCAATATAAGAAAAGGCTACCATCGCATTTTAGCTGTAAGTTACCTACAAATCCCAGCAATACACTATTGTTATATGTATATAATATGTTAATTTGATTTGGTTGTGGTCTAGATTAGAAATATTCTCCATGAGGGTAAAATAGCAAGAAAGCTTAAATGGCTAAACTATTTAAAATGTGATGTTTAGTGAAAGGAAAAGGAAAATGACAAATACCAGAAGGAAATCTTATAGCTCTGTAACACCTATTTGTTTTTAGGCTTGACCCTGCATACATATACAGAACAAATACAAACTCTCAAAAAGTTCCTCGGCTGATTTTATACTGAGGTTGGGAAGAAATACAGGATAAGTTCTGTCTAACTTTCCGCTCCGAACCAGCTTGTCTGTGATTCTGAGTGGTAGTGAATAGATCCTGCTGTTTTAAAGCATACCAGATGCTGTAATGTTGTTTACATGGTTATTGCAAATCATTTGACTCCTAACTGTTCTTGGAGAACATGAACTGCATCCTAAAATGCATCACCAGTGACCGCCCTCAGAGCTCCAGAAGATAGACATATGACACAGTGGGCTGTTGCTCTGATTAAAAGGTGACGAAAGATCTTAATGCAACCAAAATATCAATAATCTGTGTCAGAGAGAGTAGTTTAGAAAGCCCAGCTTCCCCTCTACATAATAGTGTAAACTCATTGTATTATATGTGATGCTGTTTGATGCAGATTGTATGAGAAGAACGGCATTATCCCACTGTTAGTGGAATTTGCAGCAGTAGTCTCCTGCTGCCTAGCATGCTGAAGGCACTTGTTTGATGTTTCAGTGACAGGATCTTCTCTCTCAGCCGACGTGTTGAAACACCCCTGTGTGATTCACATTGACAGAGCGGAGAGAGTAGATGCCTCCAGCCCCATGCTGGCTGCTACTGTAGCTGCTGTTCTCAGTAATATCTGCTTTTACTGCCTCTCGTTCCCCTGAGCCCCGCTGCACAGAGCAGTTCAGGAGAGGAGGAGAACATCCAGGCTGTGTTAAATTAAGTGGGTTAGTAATCTCAGACAACAAACTAAATTATTTAATCAACTTTCAGGCCCTGAAGAACATCAGTATGACAGTAGGGGGTTTATACAGAGGGGCCAATTCACAAAAGGATTGTGTGGCTTTTAGGGGCTGCTAAAACTGTGCAAATTAAACAAAAGGAACCGTGTAAATCTCAAAGCAAGTGCAAGAGCTGAAATGCACCCCCACCTGCTTTGCCAAAGAAAAAAGCCTCTGGTTTCTAATTTGAACATATTTAAAATAGTAAACATACAGATACTTAGTGTAAAATTGGCCCTTTTATGAGCCTCATTGCAAAAACAATCCTAAACTGATGCACATTTGAGTGATGTCCGTTAAAAACTCATTTATTAGGACGTAGTCATTGCATTGACACAGTTGCGCTGTAACAGGATGCAATGACACTTGTTTCATGAGAAATAAACGAATTCATTAAAATACATGGGGACAAAAGATTGAAATAACTGGTGAATCTTTGCTGCTGTGCCTTGAGCGTAAACGCACACAGCATCTCTCTTAAATTGGAGGCTTATCATTTCTACTGCAGGGGGATCGCTGCAGGTATTTAATTAACTCAAAAACAAGCCTCAAATGTCTTCAACACTATTAAGATAAAACAATTTAATTAATATTTTTCCTCTGTTTTATTTCAACTTCCCGGAAATGTGTGCTGTGCGGCGCAGAGGCGTATATGGCAAATACGAATGAAAGAGAAAAATATAGTTAATAGTTAAATTTTTTTTTTTAAAGCAACAGGGTTGACTTAGATTCTTATAAAGATTTCCAGCATTTAACATAATTAATTGTCTTTAAAAGTGTTGTGAAATTAAAAAAAATGTGCTACTGTATGCTGAGTTGTATGAAAACAATTTCCCAACAAATTGTAATTACAGTTCATATTTTAATAACATTTTAACACACTTTTATCTAAGGTTTAAAGTAACATCTGAAAAAGTGTATTGCTTTTGCTATTCATTTAATAAATTGACCTTTTGAATATTGTTGTATAGAGATAGAAATACAGTATGTCCCTAATTATACAGTAAATTCAAAAGGTGTGCAGCAATACAGTCAAGGAACATGTACATGTGTAGTTTTGAAAGAGGCCATTAGAAATATTAGATTTATACAGAACAGTAATACAAAATGTCAGCTGGGATGCATTTTATTCTGGTGAAATGCACATGTTGGAGACTTGACCTGACTGGAACATCATTCCCTAGATTTAGTCAAAATGTTTAAGCAACAGCTGACCTAAAAGACACGCCAGTGGTTCTCAACTGGTCAGGCCTCGGGACCCACTTTTTCCTTTGTCAATAAATCGCGACCCAAAATGTTGAACCACTCGAATCTATTCAACAAAAAATTGTGCTGTAATATATACGCTTTTCAGCATACATTATTAATTAAAGTGAAGCGCAGTGAGTGCATACAGTATATCCCTTCACAGAACTAAAGTATGCTTTAAAAAAAGGTTTAATGAGATGATGGAATCAAAGCTGAATTGTATAACATAAAAAGGCACACATGCTGAAAACCCAACCCCAGAAGGGGGGTCTGGGGGGATTCTCCCCCAGGAGATTTTTTAGAAATACTAACATATAAACTACGCATTCTGGTACACTCTGAGAAGAAAATAAATAAATCTATTACTACCTGACATATTAATAATATTTTATGCCATTGTTTGTTTTTCACTTTGTTCTGACAGCTGAACTTGCTGCTCCTCACAGAGAGAAGAGCAAAGAGGAGATAGTCTGTTTGACTTAGTTTAAATTGTGGGTAACGGTAGATAGCTCCTATTGTTCTGTGACCTGTCAATCATCAAACCGGGGGTCATATTTCATTATGTGTTCATTTTGATCTGAAGTTGTACCCATGGATGTATAAAGAATAGTTCTACCGCAAAGTAATTCTCCGTGGGGACTTCCGGCAACAATCTTGATTCTGATTGGCCAGAAGACTCGAAAAAACATCAGCAAAGATGTTTTATTGAGAAGATGATCACTACGTGACAGAAGTTTTCAATAACCGTTTATGTTCTCCGGTACTTCCAGTCCAACGCCTACTGCATGCACAGCGTTAGAAAATCGGGCCTTCAAAATAGAAGTTTGACTTTTTTCCGCAAAAAAAAAGAATTTCAATTTATTTTTTCTTCACTCACACATCTGCGACCCACTCGAAAGTTGAGAACCACTGCGCTAGACCTTTATGATTTAGTGGAGATTACACACTTAATCAGAAGTGGTGAATTTGCACTGCAGGGCAGAGCCGGCCATTTTACTCTGAATAAAAAAAAGTGCTCTCTTAAGAAGATGTCATGGCTCAACTGAATTTGTGATGGTGCTGACCCCCACAGACTGCAACACACACACACACACACACACACACACACACACACACACACACACACTCAGTGCCAATGTGTGCCTTCCATTATGGTTCCATATATTTTGCATGAAGGGATTTATTTCTCTCACTCCTTGCTGCAGTTGCAGAAAAGGTCAAGCACGCGTTACATCCGTCAAACTGGTACTTCTGAGTCAATACATCAACCTGACAGAACGTGTCAAAGTATCTGCTTTATTGTCAGGTGTTAAATATATCAACACATATTGGTTTTAGTATTGCAGGATTACTTAATGCCACCTGTTCTTAAGTAGCTTCTTCTCTTAATTCAACATTGTTTGCCAAAAGCTCTCACTAAAGGATAAATGTTGGTGTAGGCATACAGAAAACTAAATCCAGAGATGTAATTGTGAGCATTTATTTTCATTTTGAATTAGAAGTTACAGGTTCAAGCTTAATGACGTCCATTTAAATAAAAAAAAACTGTCCGAATGCACTGACTATCACACCCTTAAATATGTTGATTTGAATTCCACTTGAAATGTGGAAACCATGAAAAAACAATGTCTTATAATTGTATTAAATAACATGTATTTCCTGTCTGAACCAGGTTCAGACTTGTTTTGCATGCTTCTTTTCTTACATCCTTTGTGAAAAATAACTTCTAAATACTTCATAACCTGCTATCCATTTGGGTCATGTAAGCTGTTTCTGAGAGATTCACAGATGTTATTTTGGGAAAAGTATGCTTGCTTTTTCCTTTGAAACATACATAATGCATGTTGTTGTCTCTGTTACCCTGCAAAGGCTCAGTAAAAACAGCTTTGAACCCAAAAGCTTCACTCTGAAAACAGGCCTGTTAAATATAAAGTTCAAGTTGATTTTAGGTCAGGCTAGAGAACACAAGTCCAAAGACAGGCAGGAGACGGGGACAGTTTCATCCCACAGGCCATAAGACTATTAAACACCTGAACCTTTGAAACAACATCCATAACATTCATCTGGCTGCAACTTAGAAATGACGACGACGGCCTGGCAATAATATATATTTGTGGGACAGTGGAGGTGGGAACTGGTGTGATTTTGTGATGGGGGTTACTGAAGTGTCTGAGAGGACAGGATAGATGTTAGTAGATGGCAGGGGGGGAGGGAACAAGGAAAATGTGAGAGTAGGAATTGGCGGACATTGTGACATTCCCAATCTTTATCTATCAAACTGACCTTTTTGCCGCACCTCTCCTCTCCTTTATTCCACTTCTGTCCTTTACCCTCTCATATGTCACTTCTCCCATTCTCCTGATTGTGTTTCTCTCCTCTATCTCTCGCTCTAGGGGGTGAGGTAGGGACCCCGAAGTTCACCCAGTATTTCCGTGGCAGCCTGTCAGGTCTGACAATCCGACCGGGCCGCATCGAAACCCAGAAGGTTATTTCCTGTTTGCAGGCTTGCAAAGAAGGCCTTGATATTAACTCCCTGGAAAGCCTCGCCAAGGACATCAAGGTGCATGGAAACAAACCCACTCAACACTTTCAGCTTTGGTTTGTAGTATAGTAGCTGCTACCTCTAGACATTGAAACATTTAAAAATGTCATGTCTATGTGGCACAAATCTGCTCAAATCGTCAATGTTTTAATGAGGATTTAAAACAGTTCTGTCACTGTCCAAAGAAATTGGGATTCAACATGTTGTTCCAAAAATCACACTAAAAAGTATTACAATTAGTACGTTTTACTGTAAGTACGACCTTACATTTTTCAGCGATCCAATATTTTCATTCATTTCATTTCACAGTAGACACAAGTTTTTTAATTGGACATCCTTTTTGGTGAAAAATACAAAAAGGAACATTGAGAGTCTTTTCTAACTTGCTTCATATTTCCTGTATTTGTTTGTATCTGGTTCTATGTTTCACTTTCCATAAGAGCAAGTTTTCAAGTCATTTGTAATGACCGATGTTAGAAATGTAACATTATCAATTTATTGGTAGTGTTTATTCATCAAAATCCACAATAAAATGATATATAGACCCAACCCTAGCCACCAGAAGAACTCATGTGTCACTTCTAAGCAGTACAGGATGTAACTCCATATAACTTGGCTAATAAACAGAGTCTAGTAAAAGCTATTGTTGCACATGTTTTCCCTCACAAGACACACAAAATGTAAGTTAGCTTAACCACATTGTCTGAGTCTGGAGATCTGAACGTCTCTTTGTGTTTGTTTGTGTCTCCAGTTCCATTTTAACCCCGCTCAGTCCGTGCTGGTGGTGGAGGGAGAGGATCTGGACAGCATCAACACAGCCATGACCAAGGTCTCCTACATTAACTCTCGCCAGTTCCCTACATCAGGCCTTCGACGGCTGCACATCACCACCACAGTACAGTAAGTGCAAATACAATTAGAGCATGTATTTTCAATCACGCTACAATATTTGTGTCTTACATCTAGCTTTACATTCACTTCGTTTTTATGTTTTCACCTTTGCTGCCCCGCTGGGTCACTGTCACTGAGCAGTTGTGAGATTCGGCCCTTGCTTTCAGACGAAAACATCAGAAGAACAATTCATCTTTATAAATATAATTGCGATGTACAGATCTGTGGCTTCATGCTGTTTGTGTGGGTGTGGATTTGAACCTTTCATCACTCACATCTTTGTTGCACATTTAGCAGGTATCCAGTTATTGAATAAAATGTGGGATGATCCGTATATAATATAGGACAAGTTTGTCAAATCATGTAACCTACAAACAGCCAGAGGAGTTTTAAAGTATTAACTGAAGGCTCTTTCAGATGTGGGGTCTGTCTTGTCTCTGTCTTTAAGCCTCAAAACTCCCAGTGAGATGGCAAAGATGGATCATTAGTGCAAAAACTATTAAAGCATGAAACAGACCAGCTGGCCGTTAAGGACATTAAGCCTTCGGGCGAACACAAAGAGCATCTTGCTAGCGTCTACTTGTCCTTGCTTTCTTTTTCTATCTTTTTTCATTCCTCCGTTTTCTGTCAGTTTGTTCCGTTGTATATCTTTCTGTGATTCTATCTCCTGATTTCATTCGATTTGATTAGACTTTGTCTTTTCCCCAGGATGCTGATGTCAGTCAGTGTGTTTGTCCAAAGCGCATTATCTTGACATACTGTAATGAAATCAAAAAGCACTCTGCTGGTCCACAACAACGTATCATGAAAGTGGCTGCCTCCTTGATATTTGCAAAGGATATTAAAAGGATTAATACTTATCTCGTTGGTGCCCCCTGACATTTTCTTTAATGCCATCATCTGAAAAAACTCCCCTTACATGCATGACATATGATAATGTGATGGACAGGTAATAATTGACTGACCCCTTCTTGCTCCTGCTAGCATAACTTGATTTATTGTCATCATTGCATGATCAGAAACACATGATTTCACCATATGTGTAAAGTACATCATGTTAACTGTAAATCATAAAGCAACGCAATTCCTGTGGGTGTGTGTGTGTTGGTGTGTGTGTGTGTGTGTGTGTGTGTGTGTGTGTGTGTGTGTGTGTGTGTGTGTGTGTGTGTGTGTGTGTGTGTGTGTGTGTGTGTGTGTGTGTGTGTGTGTGTGTGTGTGTGTGTGTGTGTGTGTGTGTGTGTGTGTGTGTGTGTGTGTGTGTGTGTGTGTGTGTGTGTGTGTGTGTGTGTGTGTGTGGTGTGTACTGGAGAGCCTGTTCATGTGTCTGCTCCACTCTCCACGCCCATCCAGCGCCTGTTCATTTGTTGAGCAGCAAGTACAGACAGGTCAAATCAGCTTGGAAGTGTGCGGGTCGATAGTGAGGCGAGCTCGGGGAGAAGCAGGACAGGCTGTCTCACTCCGAGCAGATCTTCGGCGCTCCCCTCGAGATAAAGACAGATAGATCCGCCTCTACTCTCAGCAGCAGATGTGTTGAATCTGCCATCTGTGACTGAAAAACAATAATATGTAGTCCAATTACACATTGTTGATATTCCTCCTGCAGGTGTTTTGTTGTTTGAGGCTGCTTTGTGTCTCTGGGTGTGAAGTCCTGACAAGCAGCAGGATAGGTTCAATGATAATTGTCACTTCACTATTCACAAGGTCAATATATTTAGCAATTTAAACCACCCCCGCTGACTCCCAGACCTTAACAGCTAACATCCATCTTTGTATTTAATGCTTCTTTTCAAATGGTTTATTTTTCATTTCTGAGATGTATTCCTGTATGGGCAAAAGCATAGGTCCGGGCGAATTGCTTTTAAGCACTTTACATTTTATATTGATGTGTCCCTTTATTTCAAAATTTAAATTTCTGTGATTTCAACATGGAATTATTTATCCTGTAGATTCTTAATCCCCTGTGGTATGGTTGATTCAGTTTAAATGTGACTTTCAGAAAGGGGGCAGAGCGGTAACTATAAAAAAAGCTCAGGACACTAAAACCTATTTTTGAAATTTTAGCAAAATATATGAACATTTGAAATTTAAAGGAGAGTTTTTTTTTATGATTGTGGTAAAAAGAGAAAAAGGATTTGGAACTAGAAGGTGATATTCCCATTGTCCAAAATCCTTAACAACAACAGCTAGGCTACTGTCGGATACATCTGGTCCAGACCGTCTTCACAGTGCTGATAAAGCAGTTATATTTTGTAGTTCTAAGATGAGGATTTTTTTAAATATATTTTAGCATGAATATTTGGAACAACTTGATTTGAAACCAAGTTTGAGCTGATTAAACAAATGTTTCTGCAAATCCATTATGTTTGTTCAGCCTGTAATCAGCAGTGTTTTTCGAGCTCTTATACTGAAACGCTGTATTTCTGTCTTTTTGCATATTTTACTCACAAACGACAGCATTAGAGTTAAATCAAATAAGCACCGAGTATTAACACCTGTGCTGTCTAAATGTGTACCCTCTCTCTTCGTGTGTGTGTGTGTGTGTGTGTGTTGTGTGTGTGTGTGTGTGTGTGTGTGTGTGTGTGTGTGTGTGTGTGTGTGTGTGTGTGTGGTGTGTGTGTGTGTGTGTGTGTGTGTGTGTGTGTGTGTGTGTGTGTGTGTGTGTGTGTGTGTGTGTGTGTGTGTGTGTGTGTGTGTCAGGTGTTTCGGTGAGGACACTTGTCTCTCCATCCCAGACATCAAGTCAGTGGTTATGGTCCTGCCGCCTAGTGAACCGAGGATCACCATCTCAGGATCTAATCGGCTCGTCAGGCCTGGCGCTGACCTGCGGGGCCCGCTGGGTGTGGCCCCCTTCAAAGAGCTTCAAATCACCAGCACGGTGATGAAAGGAGACAGCTTCGGCGGATGTGAGTGGGGGGGCTGCCTGGGTGGTTAACACACTCTCATGTCTTTAGGACTGCAACTAACCATTTTCACAATGGCACACATTATAGTAAAATATGAGTCTGAAGTAAAGTCTTTAATGTGTTGTCTTTACAGTCATAAACCCAAATACCTGTATATTCAGTTTAGAATGATATAAACCAGAACAAAGTAAAGAAACACAGATGTTTTCAAATCAAATGATTGCAGAACTAAAAGACTTGTATTATATATATATTTCCTTTAATGTTAAATACAACTATAAATTCCTATTAGATAGATAGATAGATAGATAGATAGATGGATATATGGATAGATGGATAGATGGATAGATGGATAGATGGATAGATGGATAGATGGATAGATGGATAGATGGATAGATGGATAGATGGATAGATGGATAGATGGATAGATACTTATATAAATAATATAAATGTAAAATGTACAGTGGGAGTTTAAGTCCAGCTATTGTTACGTGCACTGGATATTTGGTATTTTATCACTGAGACTCTATTTGCCAACATAACTCATTTGTCTGTAATATCGCGTCCATGCGTGCAGCTCGCAGACCAGGTGTGATGGAGTTGATGCATAACCTGGACTACTGCGACGTTCTGGTGATTGGGGACGAGCTGAATCCTGAGAGAGAGAGTCTGGAGATTCATCACAGCGCTTTGTTGGGAAAACACCTGGATGCCACCAACTCCACCTCTGGAATATCAATATATGGTAGGTGGGGGATGATCTGTGGCACTAATGCTCTGTGAAGGACATCAGGACACGCACCACCTTTCCACTTAAAAATCCTAAATAACATCCCTAAAAATGGCTTGCCCTTCATACAGCAACAGGATAAGCATTCAGTCTCTATCGAGCAGGACAGCTGTAAAGGTCCCTGAAATCTCCTGTCAGAACAAATTACAGTTTTATCCTCCAGAGACCCAGCAGTTCATTGATGTCCTCTGTGGGGGGCATGACTCTGAGGCCTGTTATTTCAAACACCATGCATGCTGTTTATTTAAGTCCTAATCTACTCTTAAAAGCACATCCTGGGCGTTCTAAAGTGATGCAAATGGCGGCGTGGCCAACAGAGCACATCTTTTGATAGGAATTGCAGCAAAGATATATCAAATTTATAAAGACATGTTGTTTCTGTTCTTTTGAGGACATTTTTTTAATATCATTTCAAGCCTTTAAAAATACACATGGGACTTAAGTAAACAGAGTACTGATTGAGCAAGAACATATCTAGTTTAAAAAAAAGACATGGGACTTGCTTCTTGATAATGACCTTTAAGTGGAGGAAGAGAGACAGGTAGTAGAGCAGGTTTCAAATTGTGCATCATATTTGTTTCCAATATTCAGAGAATGTGAAAGATTTTAAAAGAATATGTATGATTTCATTATTTTAGGATAAGAGAGTACTTTATTGATGCAGCATAAAAAGACATGGCATTGTACAATAACAATTTAAAGAAATAAACAAGAAAGTAGAAAATATACATGTTGAATTTACAAATTAACAATAACAATATATGAAGCAAGGTATTATATATACATAAGTATGTGACAGATGGAATATTTAATATTAAACTGAATATATAATGTAAAATGTACAATGTGGTTTTATTCCAAGAGAAACTATGGAGCAGAGAGTTCTCTGCCAGCCAGAGGTGATTTATTGTACAGAGTTATTGCCGTTGGAATGTTTTCCTGTATCTGTCCTTGGGACAGGGGAGCTGCAGCAGTCTGTTGGAGAAGGAGCTCCGCTGTCTGTCCAGCTGCAGGTGTAGAGGATGGGTGGGGTTATCCATGATGGCCTGTTCAGTGTCCTCCTCTCCACCACAGCTTAAAAAAAAACATAAATAAGTACCATTATTGACTAAAAACATATCTCAATAACTCCTAAATCCCAGATTTTAGGAGGATAAGCGGACAGTGCTACATGACATATTTTTAGCATTTGTATTAAAGGTCCCCTATTATACTGTTTTTCATTACTTTATTATAGGTCTCAGATATACACAAAACATGTCTCTTACCCCTTTCACACCAAGGCTTTTCCCCTTCTAGCTCCGTGCTAGAGCTTTTCAGGTTCAGAACCGGTTCTTCGGTTTAGCGCCGGCTCTTTTCACACCGCTCAGAGCCCGACTGGTCACATGACGTCACAGTTTACGTCGCTGATTTTCTCCCCAACGGAGCTCACCTCACAACAACAACGGGCCGGGGACTGCGTCGGGTCGATGATCGTGTTGCTTTTAATCATACGAAGCCAGATTAAATTAAATAACGACTTCTCCAACCTTATACTTTTCTCCAGAGTGCCGTGGTTCATTGTTTATTAATGTGTTTCAGCGGCATTTACCGACCGCTGCAGTGCTGGCTGCTCTTCCACGGGAGTTTATTCTCCCGTTAGCTCACACGGCTCTAAAGTATTCACTGTCTGACTGTCACACAAGCAGCTGATACATATCCCCAGTTCCCTTTAAGTGAATGTGTGTCAGTCTGAATTGACGCTGTTTGGCATCACAACGCTGTTATGAAAGTTTCTCTGGTATAACATGGGTGATGTTAGCATAGCAACCGAAGCTAAACTGACTACTTGCTAAGCCGTTTTCTACAGGCACTTTTTACCGGCGTATTTTTCATTATGATTCTACTTGTGATAGTCGGACATGACAACCTGTGCAGCCCATGTATTGATTCCATCCGATAGCTGCTATAATAACAAACAAAACGTCTGCCTGCTCTCCACAATGATCAATAACAGCGAACGGATGGTCAAAGTAAGGTACAAATAAACAGAATCACACGAAGCCTGGTTAGTGTTGCCTGACTTTATAAAGCGTGTTTTGTTTTTTTACAAGTGTGTGGTTGCGTTCTAGTCACTTTGCTCAGCACTACTGCTGGTTACAACTTTTATTTGCCGTACTCGCCTTAACTGTTAGCTCAGGTTAATCTCGCCCCCCTCCGACGTAAGCGATTCTTGCTTCTACACGGACAACTTTTTGGTGCTCGAAACGAACCGGATTCCGGAGCTTAGAGGCTGCTCCGCTGCGGTGTGAACAGGAAAACCCGGTGCTTTTCAAGCTCCAGCTCCGAACCGGCCCTGAAACACCGTTGGTGTGAATGGGGTATCTGAAGTGTTTGGCTCGAAATACCAAACAGATCATGCATTGTAGCATCCCATAATCCCCTCTGTTTCAGCACTGTTTCAAAAGAGCTGATTCTCTGTCTGTTACTTTAGATAAAAATAAGGAGCCACTCCCAATGCCCCTCTGAGAGATATTTGGTTAAAAAGAACACAATGGTGCTCTAGGAGGAGATTCAGGTCATAAGGTGGGCGGGTGTTACCTTGGTTGGTTATTGGCTAATAGTTACACATGCCAAAACATCGTTATGACATCATAAAGTGGCCAAAATCTGATCAGCTCATTTTCAGACAGGTTTTTATATAAATGGATCAGAACAAAAAGTGAGCGAATCTTTTTTCCTGAAACGTTCAGAATCTCTTTCCACAGAGGGGACACATGTTTATGTATAAAAGACATGAAAAAGTGGATTTTGCATAATAGGTGACCTTTACATTTGTTCCATCCTGTTCCCAGGTGTGGACTCCATGGCCCACTACGAGCAGGCGCTGAGGCAGCTGCGCTACAGGAACCAGCACCCTGTCACCCTGAGTGAGAGGAGGTTCAGACTCACCTGCTCCGAGCTCAACGGACGATACACCAGCAACGAGTTCAACCTGGAGGTCTGTCCTCTCTCTAAACGTCCTGCACTGTTTATTGAACCTTTTTCCTTCTTGATTCTTCCATTAGATTTTAGTTGTGTTTTGATGTTTACAATGCTCTATTGCAGGGGTGTCCAAACTACATTTAGAAACGGCCCTCAGCTAATTCAAAAAGTATAATGGAGTATGGCCCACAAATGAAACTTGTGCTTGTCTTGTATTGTACTTCTTAAATATAGATGAAAACAGATATTACACAGTATTCATCTGTTAAGAAGCCCACTTTTCAAACTAATTCAGTCAATTAAAGTTGAAAACATTTTCTATCAAATCTAAGTTGATAAGAAAAAATTACACCCTTGAAATAAACCCTTCCTACAGTATTTCCTCTTATGATGATGAGCAATCTGAGGCTCCTGTTTTAAGGAATAAGCTGCTAACAAGATCAATGAAACCCTATGGAGAGCTGTGATAGGCTGTGTGCTTTCTTAAAGCATATTCAAGTATTAAGCATCATTTTGCTACATTTGATTAATTTTGCTAACTTAACTTATGAGGCAATATACCTCACCAGGGCTTCGTATGTTTTTCTGTATGTGGCCCTCGGTGGAAAAAGTTTGGACACTCCTGCTGTATTGGTTCCCTCTATAGCTATTTTTTTTTGTTTTTATGACCTTTCTTTGCACAAGGATAATGGTTTCCCCCCCCCCCCCCCCCCCCCCCCCCCCCCCCCCTCTGCAGGTCAGTGTCCTTCACCACTCAGCACCTGTGGAGCATGTCAATCACATGGCTGCCCAAGCTCCGTTCATGAGACCGGTCCATCACCCTCTCATGATACACACTCTCAACTCACACATGTCAGGTAAGACAGTAATGTCACTGTGTTTTGAATGTGCCCCGTCTGTTAATCAGACTATTATGTGGACTTAAAACAAAGGTTCATATTAATAGTTAACAGTGAAAACCTCTTTTGTATTTCCTAAAAGTTCATCTATATTGTTCTGTTTTGACTGTACAGCAGTTGGCCTCAGATCCACTTCCACGCTACAATGAATGATTACAATGCACATTTAGATTTGTGTGCCTTTGTTCTCTGTTCCAAATGATCAAGCTAGACAAGATGATTAAACTGGAGATTGCTCTGTCGTAAAGCTTTGTCTACTTGAGTTGCTGCACGCCCAGGGCAATGACATCTAAGAGTAAGATGTTATAGGTGAAAAGAATGAAGGTCAAAACAACAGAAATAAAACAAGACTTGTTTGTCTAAAAAGAGGATGCTTTATTTAAGGATAAGTTCACAGAGAGAAGGAAAACAGTGTATATCATGGTGACTACTATTACTTTTGAAAGATATTCAGATAAAGCCAAAATGTCAGAGATCTATAGCCTGAGCAGACTCAGTTGTACCTCCATAAATATGTATTATATAACATACAGAGTTATATTGCCTCTCCACTTCTCCTCCAGGATCAGCGCCTCCAGCAGCCACAGCTGTTATCGTGGTGTGTATCGCCGCCCTGGTGGTGATCGTGGTGATCGGCGTGTACAGGATCCACGCCACGCATCAGGAGGGGTCCAGAGAGGACGAGGAGGAGGTCAAAGAGACTGAGGAAGACTGGGACAACTCTGCACTCACCATCACTGTCAACCCCATGGAGGTTAGGGTAGATTTAGATTTTAGTTTGAGTTTTTTATTCCTGTACTATGCTACTCCATCACTGCGAGTGGGACCCAGGTACCCCTCAGAAACACGCCTGTTTGCTATCCTGGCTCCTAAAGGTTGGAACGAGCTCCCTATAATAATAATAATAATAATAATAATAAAGCTTTATTTATATAGCACTTTTCATACACATGCAAAGTGCTTTACAAAATGACACATCACTAGTTAAAAGCAAACAAGAAATTCCCCTCAGATTATTTGTTAAGAACTTTAAAAGGTACATGCAGAGAAATACAACATGTTATCAGGTTAATAGACACAAGGAGGTCAAATGTATGATAATAAAAATAAAATAAAATAAATAATGGTTTCTCTCTGACAGATAAGACACAAGACAACTGAGTCAATGCAACAATATAACATATAAAACAAACACCAAGTGAACATATAGGTACAACAGAAATAAAAATAAAAAGATTAAGACCTATAAAATAAATAAAACAATATAAAGATAGGTAAATAATAAAGACTAAAAGAACATTTAAAGTGCTAATAAAAAGCTAATCTAAAAATATGTGGTTTTAGCTGTCGTTTAAAAATGTCCACTGAGTTGGCATCAGGACGGCAGGAACTCTCCATATCTTCCGTCGCTAACTGAAAACACACCTATGTCCACCGTACCTTGGCAATTAAATGATTGCTGGGGAAGAAAAAGGGGGGAAAAAGCACTCATTGAGTTAATTTAGACTTCGTAACTTATTCACCAGCACTTACGCACGTATGATATTGTTTGAAGTGAATGTATCTGCACTTTCCTTGTTGTTCCGAGTTTGATTCTTTATGCTTTTTGCACTTATTCTAAGTCGCTTTGGATAAAAGCGTCAGCTAAAATATATGTTATGGAATGTAATATCCACATACTTTGTAATTCAGTATTTGATAACTGTAGGGACTTTACTAAATCATGCTTTGTTTTCTAGAACCTCGGAGGAGCTCAGGCACGTGATGCAGAGGTAAAAGAAGAAGACCGTGAGGAGGAAGAGGAAGAGGAGGAGGAGGAGGAGGAACAGGTGGGAGGCATGACGAGTGCCGAGTCAGACAGCAGTGATGAAGATGAAGAGGGGGGAGAGGAAGAAGAGAGAGAAAAGGTGGAAGAGAGGAAGCAGAAGGGAAAACTAGAGTGGGACAGTTCCTCCATAACGTACTGACCACACACACATAAACACATATCTGCACATTAAAACACACTTTACATGCCCATCGCTCTCACACACACACACACACACACACACACACACGCACGCACACACACACACACACACACACACACGCACGCACGCACACACACACACACACACACACACGCACGCACACACACACACACACACACACACACACACACCCACACACGCACGCACGCACACACACACACACACGCACACATGTTGATGCAGACATTACTTCACGCTCGCTACAGGTACACAGACACAAAATCTCTGATAAAATAATTTACAATCTGTTGCTGGAACAAACACTGAATCTTCCCACGTTGTCATTGTTACAGTAATGACACATCTCCCTCTGCTGAAGCACAGTTTTCTCATTATGTGGAGAATTAGCTGATAAAATGAATCTAAACTCTTGAATTTAGCGACGCAAACTCTCTGTTTCTAACATTAACACAAAGATAATGTGGGCTTTGATCCCAATATTTAATATGTGCAATTTTCCTCAGATTACTTTTATATTGTTTATTTTATATTTGAATCAGATTGTCTGCAAACTGGTGAGTTATTAGCAGATGTATCCGAGTGATGTATCCATATACAGTACATGTGTTAATGTATCCATGAATATAATTCCTTTGGCCTGTATAGTAGGTATAGCATAGATGTACCGTCCCTCAGCGTATATCCTCTGTTCTCATAACTCAAACCTCTCTTTCTCTGAGAACATGTTACCTCTTAAAATAAACATTACACATCTGTCCTGATTTATATCAGCAGAAATGTTAACCGTCTAATATTGTCCCCCTTTAGTTTCTCAAAAGTATTTTAAGGTGATTGAAAGGTTAAAATACTCTTAGAAACCAAAGTGCAGTTTGTTTGCATCTGTCTGTGTACCAAATCTCTCCATACTGTGGCCTATTGTAGCTTTCATTGTTATACAAAAATAGAAGAAATAGTACGGAGATGTTTCCGTGTGTTACCATTATCCCGTCTTCCCATTCTGTTTAATTTGCAGTAAAGGGAGCCCTCTATGCAAGTATGGGCCCAGTATAAAGGACCAGTACACAGAAACAGGGGCACTGCAGTCATCGACTCTTTCAAACAAACAAAATGGCTGTCACCCCATTTCTAACATTACCCAAGATGAGGTGTGCTTTTAACGTTTAATATGTACTTGTATTTATTTGGTTTATTTTTTAATAACAGATGGTTTGTAAAATGATGAGTTATTAACAGATTCAAGAAGAGGTTGAGAGATGTGAGTGACGTGTAATATAAAACAACTTTTACTTCCATAACATCTCCACTCGGTACAGAGCTGAGATGTTAAGGTTTTTTGACTTTCTAACAACTCTTCAGTCAGACTCGGGACCATTTCTTTAGGGAAATGAAAATGACAGGCCCTCACTGCAGACTCTAAAAACGATTATCTTCTTATTACTCGACCCATACATGTGTTAGCAAACCACATGTTATTAGCCTTGTCCTGTTTCTCATCACGTGGTCCTGATAAGCAGGGGCCGCTGCATGGAGCTAAGGTGGCACACTTTTTCAGATGAAACAATAGTGTTAGTATATGTTGTGAAACTGTCTCGCATTGGACGCAAATCAAGTCGAACGATATCTCACTAACTCTTGAAAATATATTTGTAAAACCGATAGGGTCTTTTTGAGCTTTCAGTTTGTGATGCAGGATTTTTCCTAAAAGTTTCCCTTATGTCTGAGTAAGGATCACCTCGACTACATAATTAAAGTTTATTTATCAGAAAATATTTTTTTTATCGAAAGAATACTTTACGACTTAACTTAATGAGTTGAATGCTGGAGAAAATAAGTGTGTTTATCTATCTCACTTTATCAAGTCACCACTCTGCACAACTTCACCAGAACTAGCAGCAGTGGAGACTTCTTTGATATGAATTCCTTCTTTTAAACATCAATATTGCATATCAAGTACACTTGATTTAATCCAATGGGTTTGTCTGCATTTCAATTCTCTAAATGTAACTCCTTAGACATTCCCGTTTCTACTCTGATTGCCAGTGATCATCCCTCTGAGGTCTGTGACTGACGCGTCTCCTCTCCACATGTCCCTCCCTCTGTCCTCCTTTAAGCACCTGTGATTGTGATGTCATAATTGTGAGACAACTGCCTTGTTTCCCCTCGTCCCCCTCTGTCATATTGTGCTTCTGAAAAGGAAAAGATTCTTTTACATATAAAAAATAAACCCTGTAAAAATGTTCAAGACAGTTATTTTATATATCCGTTTCTTTTTCTTTTTGTAAACAAAATGGTCTGGATTTCTCTCTCTTTAGTGGTAATCCTACTGATTTCTGTATATTGACCAATAAAGACTTGTTTTAGACTCTACTCAGATCTCCTACTTGTTTGTGCACTAGGCATCTGACCTGTGTGTGTCTGTGTGCGTGTGTGTGTGTGTAAGTGCGTGTGTGTTCTCCCACAATAAATGAAATATGCATCCTTATTACCTCTTCAAATTGTGTTGTATAATTGAACTTCAGGCAATGCTGCATAATAGCATTCGACATCAATTCATAACCTTTTTCAAATGTTCAAATCAATAGGCACGCAATGACTCTAAATAATAATGATCACGCCACCAAACACAGATTAAAACTAAAGTAACGAGCCTGTTTGGAAAATGTAAGAAGTAGAAAGTACAGGTATTTGTGTTAAAAATGTAAGAAGTAAAAGTAAAAAGTCGTCAGAAAAATAAGTAGTGGAGTAAAGTACTGATACCAGAAAAATGTACTTAAGGAAACAATCAAAAGATAGTTTTTCCCAAAAAAAAGAGTGTAAATAGCAAATGAACAAAAGTCATATCGTATGATGAAAAAAATGATAATGTATGTAGTAAAACAAGTATGTTAACAATGTGTTCAAAAACGTCATAGTATAGTATGTATTCTTTTATAAAAATAAATATAGTATGTCAAAAAGAACGAAGCAGAAAGGGATAGCATAGAATGTGGAACATTTGAAAAAAGTCATGAAAGTATGTAAAGAAATTTGTAGAAAATACTTAGTATAGTATGTTGCATAAAATGAAAAAATAACTGTTATGTCAGAAATTTTTTATTGATATTGATTTGTTGAAAATATACAAAAAAGTCAAAGTATAGTATGTCAAAAGTGATAGAAACGCTGAGTACACAGAGGTGAGCTGCTGCTTACAGGACCCTCCCTTCTCATGTCTCCTGTTCATTCCTTCTAGTTAACCCTGTGATTGTATAGTATCTCGAAGAATATGTGGAAAAAGACACAGTATATAGTGTGTCATAGAAATCATATACTGTATAATTGAACTTCAGGCAATGCTGCATAATAGCATTCGACATCAATTCATAACCTTTATTAAAGCTGCATAAAACAATCTGCAGATTCTGTTCAGTACCCTGGATGGCTAGTAATAATACATAGTCAAATTGGAAAAGAGATTAAACTTGTGAATGAATGCATATTGTCAATAAGTCCAGCTGCAAGTGAAAGATTGACTCTTACATAACACTGGATCCAACAGGGTCCTATCTCCACATTATCAAAATGGTGGAGTATTAATGACACTACAAAAAAAGAACAAAGTATATTTGATATTAATGATGATTTAACAATCTACTGCATCATGTATGTGAGGTAAGACAAACACTTAACTAAGTGGGCTGAAGTTGAATCAATGAAAGTTCCCTTGTGTTTGAAATAAAGAAAAAACAAATGGCCTTTCTTTAGCTTTTTAAATGTTCATGTTAGTATGAGATTTGAAGTGGAAAATAAAAGCATTTATGAGCAACTTGGTCCTCACAGAACAAAGTGAACAATAACCCCCACTCAATGGTAACAATTGATAAATGGAAAAGAAAAAGAGCATAAATGTGATACATGTTATTCCAGACAAAATGTCAGAGATTGTTATATATGATTTAGTCTCAGGGTAGAATGATGACATTCAGGACCAGAAGGTAATGGACAATGCAATATGGGCTTGGAAAGCATAAAATGTGTTGGTAAAGATACACACTGACACACATTTAATGATGTAACATTTTGCAACAATGTGGAAACCATTGGGAAACAATTTATAATGCACTGTTGGTGTTTCGATTTTTATTTGGGGATGCCGCTGCTGAACAGAGAACATTACAGTGGTCTGACGAACATTAATATCTAAATATTAATAATAACGGTTTGGAGGGGGCCAGCTTTAACAGTGTTGGAAAACAAGCCTCATTTCTATTTATTGGTAGCGAAATGTAATAAATAAATACAAATATTGGAACTTATATTATTTAATAAAAGTTGCTATCAAAGTCTTTATTGAGACGTTATCAATATCAACTTTTTCACGTGTGTGTTGTTTTTTATGTTTTTACAGAGGTAAATATAACACGGTCCAACTCAATCGTGGAGTATTACTGACCCCTGCTGGTGGACGGCTGAACTGCACGGGAAACATCAATGTCAAGAAATTCAAAAAAACATCCTTAAAAAAATATAAAAATGAGATTGATGATGAATGAATAGATCCACATTGTCGATCAAATCTGGTTTACTTTAGAACATACAAGATGACCGGCAATGTGCTAAAATAAAGGAAACTAATGGTATTTCTTCTCCTTTGAATACCATTTGTTTTTCCACATGAATATTTCCACATGTATATATATATTTTTTTTTTTATCTTTTAAGTTTTTAAGTTTTAATACTATTTTATGTCTATTTCTATTTCTGAAATATATTGGACTGTTTATTTCTGTGTCTTAGTTTCTCTTATGTACATGTGTTTTGCCTTGTGTTTTTTATGCTGCTGCAACGCAACAATGTCCCAAATTGGGATCTATAAAGTACCTATCTATCTATCTATATATATATATATATATATATATCTATCTATCTATAATTTGAAAATACTTATAAATACTTTTTTGTTCTGCATGCTACAAATAATAATATTTAAGACAAAATGTTCTGTTTGATGAAGACCAGGTTAAAAATATTTATGTTTTAAAAAGAGTCAAAACACTCTTGCTGTATAATCCTTAGTTTGTTGATTTGCAATGAATCCCACTCAGC